CCACCACACAAGTGTGGCTGTGCTATGCTAGGGAAGCCTGATTCCTGCCCCCAACTTACAGGATTTGGACTCACCTGAGGGGAAATTTGGTTTCCATGAGGGTTGGTTTGGCTGTAAGGGGAGGTCTGGGGAGGTCTGGGGAGGTCTGGCTCTTGTGAGGGTTGGTCTGACTCCTTAAGGGTTGGTCTGATTCCTGTGAGGGGAGGTCTGGCTCTTGTGAGGGTTAATCTGGTTCCTGTGAGGGTTGGTCTGACTCCTGTGAGGGGAGGCCTGGCTCCTGTGAGGGTTAATCTGGTTCCTTTGAGGGTTGGTCTGGCTCCTGTGAGGGTTGGTCTGACTACTCTGAGGGGAGGTCTGGTTCCCGTGAGGGGAGATCAGAGTTCTGTGAGGGGAAATCTGCTTCCTGTCCTGGGTTTTGCTCATCCCCACTATCAAGCCTGACCTGAGTTCCTGCGTTCACCAACTCTGAGCACTAGATCACCCTGACATGCCTATACTCCATCACTTTGTCACATGTCACCTGCCCACTCTATCACTCTATACAGGGGTGTGAACCTGTATGAGTGTGGCCTGACCCTGGCCCCTAGCTCAGCCTCGGTGCTGACATGAAATAAACTCATGGTTTCGCTGTTCCCCCTGAGTGTGGGTCTTTGTCTCTTCCCCGTGGGAAGTCCTGCGACTTCCCAGCTCAGAACTCAGAACCTCTTGCCTGTCCTGGCGGAGCGGGCGAAGGCGCAGAGAGCGGGGCCGCCTGGGAGCACACGGACCCCCATGGGCAGTGGTGCCCTGCAGACATTCCAGGGCAGGGCTCCCCCCAGAGCCAGAAGCTGGCTGGCCACATCACCAGTCACCCTGACACAGACGGACCTGCTCGAACTTTCACCAAGACTCGGGGCTGGGGAGATGGTGCCCGAGTTAAGGCATAGGCAGCCACCCTGGCTCACTCCCTGGTCCCCGCAGGTCCCCGAGCATGCCTGGGGGTGGCCCTGAGCCACACTGGCCTGGCCATCCCGGCACCTCAGGGACCAAGCAGCACCGCACCCTTGGGCCACTGCGATGAACCCAGCTGGCTGAGAGCTGCTTGTAAGGCCCCTCCTAGGAGACCCCTAAGCAGACTCCGCTAGAGACCAGCGCGTTCTCCGAATCTCAGGGGACGTTCTGCTCTGAGGAGCTTCCTGGGAAGTCTGTGCAGATTAGATGGGGGGGAGGAGGGTGGGAGGAGGGGCGTGGGGAGGGAGAAGGGGGAGGGGAAGGGGAATGTGGTTCTGTTGGGGGTTGGCATCCGGCAGCGCTGGGGGAGAGAAAATCAAGTGACAGCAAACCCAACACATGAAGAAACTTGGAAAATCAAACCTGAGCTGCCAGCCTTCCCCTTTCAGATACTGCAGGCCCCATCTGAAACGCTTTGAAAAATGCCCAGAACCCTCGCATTCCATGAACCAAGCTCCTGCTCCCCGAGGGTCGGTCTGGGGGTGTGCAGAGGCAGCCCCGGGGCGGGGCCAAGCCCAGTGGCCACCAGGGGAGGGGAGAGGGGCAGAGGGGCAGAGGTGGTGCTGGCTGGGCCGGAAACGCCCAGGCGGGGGCAGGAGGCCATGTGGGCTGCACAGAGGAGGTCTTGGGGGCAGGAAATGCCTTCAGGGAAGGAGGCCATGGTGGTGGGTGCCAGGCCTGGCGCTGGGCAGGAAGCGGGGGTGCAGGGGCGCAGGGCACTGGCTGCGAGGAGAAAAGGGTTGTGCCGGGGGAGGGGGCAGACATGGGCTGTGTTGTGGGAAGGGGTGAGTGGAGATGGGCACTGGCCGTGGGGTGGGAAGGGGTGAGAGGAGCCGGGCCCTGGCTGAGGGGTGAGTAGGGGTGAGAGGAGCCGGGCCCTGGCTGTGGGGTGGGTAGGGGTGAGAGGAGCCGGGCCCTGGCTGTGGGGTGGGTAGGGGTGAGAGGAGCCGGTCCCTGGCTGTGGGGTGGGTAGGGGTGAGAGGAGCCGGGCCCTGGCTGAGGGGTGGGTAGGGGTGAGAGGAGCCGGGCCCTGGCTGTGGGGTGGGTAGGGGTGAGAGGAGCCGGTCCCTGGCTGTGGGGTGGGTAGGGGTGAGAGGAGCCGGGCCCTGGCTGAGGGGTGGGTAGAGGTGAGAGGAGCCGGGCACTGGCTGAGCGGTGGGTAGAGGTGAGAGGATCCGGTCCCTGGCTGCGGGGGTGGGTAGGGGTGAGAGGAGCCGGGCACTGGCTGAGCGGTGGGTAGAGGTGAGAGGATCCGGTCCCTGGCTGTGGGGTGGGTAGGGGTGAGAGGAGCCGGGCACTGGCTGTGGGGTGGGTAGGGGTGAGAGGAGCCAGACCCTGGCTGTGGGGTGGGTAGGTGTGAGAGGAGCCAGGCACTGGCTGTGGGGTGGGTAGGGGTGAGAGGAGCTGGGCCCTGGCTGTGGGGTGTGTAGGGATGAGTGGGGCTGCGCCCTGGCTGAGGAGTGGGTAGGGGTGAGAGGAGCTGGGCGCTGGCTGTGAGGTGGGTAGGGGTGCGAGGAGCCAGGCAATGGCTGAAGGGTGGGTAGGGGTGAGTGGGGCCAGACACCGCCTGTGGGGTAGGTAAGGGTGAGAGGAGCCGGGCCCTGGCTGAGGGGTGCGTAGGGGTGAGAGGAGCCGGGCCTTGGCTGTGGGGTGGGTAGGGGTGAGTGGGGTCAGGCACCGCCTATGGGGTGGGTAAGGGTGAGAGGAGCCGGGCCCTGGCTGAAGGGTGGGTAGAGGTGAGAGGAGCTGGGCCCTGGCTATGGAGTGGGTAGGGGTGAGTGGGGCCGCGCCCTGGCTGTGGGTAGGTATGGGTGAGAGGAGCCAGACCCTGGCTGTGGGGTAGGTAGGAGTGAGAGGAGTCGGGCCCTGGCTGTGGGGTGGGTAGGGGTGAGTGGGGCCGGGCACCGGCTGTGGGGTGGGTAGGGGTGAGAGGAGCAGGGCCCGGGCTCTGGGGTGGGTAGAGGTGAGAGGAGCCGGTTTCTGGTTGAGGGGTGGGCAGAGGTGAGAGGAGCCGGTCCCTGGCTGTGGGGTGGGTAGGGGTGAGAGGAGCCGGGCCCTGGCTGTGGGGTGGGTAGGGGTGAGTGGGGCTGTGCACCGACTGTTGGGTGGGTAGGGGTGAGAGGAGCCGGACCCTGGCTGTGGGGTGGGTAGGGGTAGGAAAAGTAGGACTATGGCTGAGGGGTGGGTAGGGGTGAGAGGAGCCGGGCCCTGGCTGAGGGGTGGGTAGGGGTGAGTGGGGCCGGGCACCAACTGTGGGGTCGGTAGGGGTGAGAGGAGCAGGGCTCCGGCTGTGGGGTGGGTAGGGGTGAGAGGAGCCAGGCCCTGGCTGTGGGGTGGGTAGGGGTGAGAGGAGCCGGGCAATGGCTGAGGGGTGGGTAGGGGTGAGAGGAGCAATGCTCCGGCTGTGGGGTCGGTAGGGGTGAGAGGAGCCGGGCCCTGGCTGTGCGGTCGGTAATGGTGAGAGGAGCCAGGCAATGGCTGAGAGGTGGGTAGGGGTGAGTGGGGCCGGGCACTGGCTGTGGGGCCCTCAGGGGTCCTGGCTGGGTCCCCTCGTCCACAGTTGACTCTGGTCCCCTCTGCTTCCGCTGCTCCCCTGGCCTGTGGGTCCCTCCTGCAGGGAGGGCGCTGGGCACCAGGGGGCAGATCCGGGAGGGCCAAGGAGGCGCCGGTGGAGGGAGCAGGTGGGAGCAGCCTCCGGCTGACAGTGACAACGTGTCCCGTCCCCCAAGGGCCAGCTGGGAGCTGTCACCACCACAGTGCCTTCTTGGACACCGCCCCCACCACACACACACACACACACACACACACCACACACACGTGCACATGCACACACATGCACACTCATGCACAAACATGCACACACATGCACACACACGCGTACACACACTCATATGCACACACATGCACACACACGCGTACACACACTCATGTGCACACTCACACACACATGCACTGGTACGAGGCTTCTCGGGACGTGGCTCTGGGAAGCAGCCGGAACCCAGCCCCCTGCCCTGGCGCTCCGTGCCCTGCTCCTTCTGTGACCGTCACTGTCCCCAGAGCCTCTTCCTTCACTGCGCAGGGAAAAGAGAGAGGAGGAGAGGGAGAGGGAGAGGGAGAGAAGGAGCAGAAGGAGGAGGAGGGGGAGGAGGAGAAGAAGGGAGGGAGGAGGAAAGAGAGAGAGGGGGAGGGAGGAAGGAGGAGAGCAGAGACAGGGGGAGAGAGGAGGGAGAGAGAGAGGAGAGAGATCAAGACAGAGACAGAGAGACAGAGGCAGGGAGAGAGAGAGAAGGAGAGATCAGGACAGCGACAGAGAGACAGGGGCAGGGAGGGAGGCGCAGAGACAGACCCTGCCACCTGGTCGGGCCAGGCCAGTCAAGCCTGCACTGGGCACCCTCAGGCCCAGGCTGTCCCCAGCCAATGCAGGGACATGACCCCGGGGGAGACGCAGCCCAGAGGGGCTGACTTGGGGTCCTGGGGCTCCCACAGCCGTGTGGACTGTGCAGAGAGAACGTGGGGGACGGGAGAGGGCCCCCACCCCCCGCCCCACCCCACCACCTTGCTGGCTCTGGGCCCCCCAGGGGAGCAGACACACACAGACTCAGGGTCCCCTGGCCGTGCCCCTGGACCTCCTTCCTGGCCGGGCTGTGGGGACTCCCGTGCCCGCAGGGTGGCCACTGCCATTTTGCCCCCAGGACCTTGCTCTCCCCCCCCGTCCCCACCAGCCTGCACCCCATCCTTCAGCTCCCCAGCTGGGCCCCCCAGAGAAGACAAGCAGCTCCTGGGGGACCCCACAGCAGGCCCTGCAAGAGCTTCCGCCCATGTTGGGGGGGGCGGTGAGACGTGTCCCCCTCCCACGTCACCCCGGCCCGCTCCTGAGGGGCTCACAGAGAGGACAGAGGCAGCCCGGCAGTGCAGGCTCCACGTGCACGGGGTGCCCCCCGCAGGGACCCTAGCCCCCACCCAGCCCCACAGGCCCCCCAAGCCCCACCGCCCCCTCACCCCCTACTTACCGGCCCTCAGCCTGAGCTCCCCCAGGCAGCCGTAGGCGTCGGCGAGCTTCTCATACTGGCCCCTGATCACGTCCTTCTCCTCGGGGGCTGGGGGGAGACAGGGGGGGCACAGTGAGTCTCGGGGCGCCTCTCCGCGGCTCCTTCCCTGCAGCTCCGGGGCTCCCGCCCACTCGCTCCGGCTCGCAGACACGCAGACACGCGCAGACACGAGGCTGAGCTCCAGAAGCAGCGAATCCCGAGCCGGGCGGGCTGCCCACGGGAGGCTTGTTCTCGGGGTGCCCGACGGGCAGAGGGGCGTCCCCGGGCCCGCTGCGGGGTGAGGGCTGGCACCAGCCCACGAGTCCACGCGCACCACGAGCGAGCATCTGCTCTCCAGAACCCCCCCAAAATAAAAGCTTCTTCCTGGAATCGACCCCCCTACCCCCCCATCTGCTCACACCCTGGGGGGGGGCAGCAGAACGCCCCACCCCAGTGCCCCTGGGTGGGGAACCCCACAGCAAGCTGCACCCGGCTCCCCCAGAGTTGTGACAAACACGGGGGTGATGGCAAAGTTGGGAGTGGACCCGGAGGCCGGCCTGGGGGACAGGGAGCCCCGAGTGTGCGGGGGGCGGGTCCCTCAGGCTCAGAACAGGTTGCCCCGTGCACGGGCCCCGCGCCCCAGGACTGGAAGCCCCCGTGAAGCCTCGCGAGACCCATTCGTGGAACCAGGCAGCAAAGACAAGATTCAAGAAGGGGACCCGGGACCCGGGCTTTCCCTCAGGGCGACAGCTATGCCCTAAAAGGAGACCGGAAGGAGGGGCGTGCAGCCGGGGAGGCTGAGGACGTGGGCATACCACGGTGCTGGCACTGTCTTCACCAAGCAGCAGGGGAGACGGCACCGCGTGTGAACTACAGCTTCAACAAGGCTCCCAAGCCCCGGGCACAGCGGGGAGGGCGCCGGCCTTGCACGCAGCCAGCCTGGGTCCCAACCCCGGCACCCCACAGGGTCCCCCGAGCCCCGCCAGGAGGGATTCTTGAGCGCAGAGCCAGGAGGAAGCCCTGAGCACTGCTGGGTGTGGGCCTAAAACCGAAATCAAAACCAACCAAAGAGCTTCTCCAAGTCCCAGCTGAAAACGGAAACAGGACTACGAGGTCCTGAGCCTACAATTTAGGGGGATTGGGGTGTGGAGGGAAGTAGGGCCACCCCCAGCCCCGCTCGGGGGTCACTCCTGAGGGCTCGGGCACCACGTGTGGCAAGTCTGGAACCCCTGCAGCATTTCTCTGGCCCCAGACGCCGAGCGGCTCAAACCCGGGTATACACTGAGAACATTCTGGACCGTTTCTTCAATTCAACTGTGCGTAATAGAGGGATGTCCGTGCCAGCCTGGCACTGGGCAGACACGCCCTGGGGACCTGCTGCTGATCTTCACATTAGTGACAGGGACAAAAGCTAATTCCCAGCATCTGCGCCATCCTGTGGCAGCAGACGGTGCCATGTTTTCCCGCCTCCTGGCGGAAGGGAAGGCTCGGGTTTAGCTCGGGTCAAAGAAAGTACCCACGGCGGTACTGTGCCGCCCACCCCAGAGCGAAGAAGAATCCGTGCTCAGAGCCTGGTCCCAGGGAAAGCCCCCCTGCTGGAGGGTCTTGCAGGAGCAGGGGTGGGAGGGGGGTGCATTCTCCTGGGCCGGCTTGGAGCTGCAGAGGGAGCCCCCTGCCCAGATATGAGGCCTTTGGAATGTTCCAGAGGCCGGGCAGAGAGCTAAGGAAACAGACTACATGGGGACGGGGTGTGAATGAGTGGGGTTGGGGGGTGGGGTCAGGGCAGGGGCTGGCTCCAGGCACACTGGCCGGCGCCGGCAAGGACAGCCTCACAGGCCAGTGCGGAGAGCTGGGACCAGCTCCCTGAGTCCAGCTGTGGCCTGAGCCCTGCCCGAGGCAGCTGGTCTGCAAAGCCCTGACAGATACCTGCACACACACAGGTACCGGGCGACTCCCAGGGTGCTCGGGAGTCCCGCTGGGGAGCAGGGCGGGGGAGTCTCTCAGCCGGACCTGCCACCTGCTGCCACCTTTGGGGTGCCAGGACCGAGAGCCGGGCACCCCCAGCGAGCTGAGGACGCCCCTTCCCCTTCTCTGATCTGAAGACAAAGGCCCATCGGCAGGAAGCTGCAGAACCAACACACTGAACACATTGGATCAGAACCAAGGGCTGGGACAGGGCTGGGTGCTACCGTGCTGGCCTGAGGCCTCGGGTGTGACCCCCAGCACCGCCCCACACGCCAAGTGTCACTACACGCAGTCACCACCTGCTGCGTGTCATCTGCCGCCCCCAAGTGTGCGAGCCGGGATCACTGCAAAGGGGCAGGGAACGGGGAGAGCAGAGTCTGGCAGGGGCCCCCCAGGTGTACCAAGGAGAGTCTCAGCCTCAGCCAGTCGGCTAAGCCAGGGGGTCTTAACCCAGGTGACTCGGGACTGGGGGTGGGGATTAAAATCTCCCAAAGGCAAACTTGAGGGGGCGGGTTGTTTGGCGCACTCTGGTGGTGCTCACGGCTTACTCTTGGCTCAGTGCTCAGCCATCACGGGGGACCATATGGGGAGTGGCGATGGACCGGGGTGTGCCACATCATCATCTGACGACGGTTATTTCCAGGAGGTCGGAACCCACGGCTCTCACCCCAGCCCAGAGCACTCGGATACCAGAAAGGGTACGGGCTGTTTTGACCAATGGTCTTCCCTCTAATAATAACATAGATTTTCCCAGTGGACTTGTTTTCGCTGTATTTTTTTTTGAGGGGGGGAGGGGAAGCGAGGGACGGAGGGGGTGGAGAGGAAGAGACAGATAATTATGGGGAAGGTTTATGAGAAGATGCGTAATGAGGTTTGGGGCAGCCGGAAGCGGCCAAAGCCCCGAGTGCTGTGGGCTGAGTCGGCACCAGCTGGGGGCCCCTTTGGAACTGGGGTCTCAGGGTCCCTTGGGAAAGGCTGGAGGCTGTCAGCACACGGCGGTGGCCCGAGCTGGACTTGCAGCTACACAAGGACACAGACAGGCCCCCGGATGAATGAAGAGTCCGTGGAGACCTCCGGGAGGTATAGGAGAACCCACATGCTAGCTGCCCCCTGCCAGCCCTCCACCCCAAGTCACAGCTCATTCCCCACCTCCCTCCAGGCCCTCCGCGGGTCCCAGACAACCAGGACACCCGCTCCCTCCCCCCTCCATCTCGGGCCCTTTCCATGTGGACACGTCACAGGAACTGGGAGCTAGGACGGAGACCTGCCGGCACCCCGAGTAAGAACAAGAGACGGGGACAGTCTCGGGGTCTCCCTGAATCAGACCCGCAGTGACCGTCCCCTGCAGCAGGACAGGGCCACACCTGACATCCCTTGGGGCCCCACATGGCAGCTCTCAGCCTCACCGTGGGTGATTCCCGGAGAGCTGCAGGCGGTGAACAGAGCCCGGAACTGAGCACCCGCTTACATCTGTTTACCACAAAGCAAGGAGCCCAGGCCTGGCTCGCCTCTGAGACAGTCTAGGTGCCCCCAAAAAACACTAACCACAGAGGAAGGGGAGTGAGCACTGGGCAGACAGAAGCACTCACAGAGAATAACAGAGACCCAGAGATGGTCATGGTGGACAGTAGAGTCACCAAGGCAGTATGGCCACAGAGCACAACACAGTCACCAGAGATAGACAGTCAGTTGCACAGTCCAGTCACCGTGGATACCACAATCACCACAGATAGTCCAGTCTAGTCGCAGCAGACACTGTGGCCAAAGGCAGTACAGCCCCAGTGGAGAGTGTGGTCACAGTCACAACAGACACAGTCACGGCAGACGGTATACAGTCCAAGCAGACAGTCACAGCAGATAGTATGGTCACAACAGAGACAGCAGACACCAACCTCAGGAAGCAAGCAAGCACACGACACTCCTGAAGGGCCCAGCCCCCAACCCCAGTCCAGGGTCCCCCCACTCCCTCTTCTCATGACCCCTTTGCACCCGAGAACTGCTGCTGGGCAAGCGCCACAGAAACGCGCCAGACTTGTCACCAGGAGAGTCTGGAGGATGTTCTGGTCGCTGCAGATTCAGAAACCTTTCACTGCCGCATTCATGCCTATGGGGTGTGTCTTCCAGTGCCAGGCTACACTCCTGCACCCCAGGCTAGACCACAGATACCCAGTCTAGACCACAGATACCCAGGTTAGACCACAGTCCCCAGGCCAGACCAGACCCCCGCTCCCCAGAAGCGCTGTCTTTCTCCCTGCCTTACAAGCTCAGCCACCTTGTGGAAGAGACTGTTTCCCACCCTAAACAGCAAAGAGTAAGCAACCCGGGTGTTTTGCATGCTATCCTGTCTCTGGGTCCCAGAATTCCCTCTGGGGGTCTCCCACTTCCTTCTGCCTTCTGGTGGCCACCCCCCTCCCTCCCATCGATGCCCCCGTGACCCCTGGTTAGACCACAGAGACCCAGGCTAGACTACAGGTACCCAGGTTAGACCGCAGAAACGCAGATTAGACCACCAGGCTAGACCACAGATACCTAGGCTAGAGCACAGATACCCAGGTTAGACCACAGAAATTCAGATTAGACCACCAGGCTAGACCACATATACCCAGGCTAGACCACAAATACCTAGGCTAGACCATAGTACCCAGGCTAGACCTCAGATACTCAGGTTAGACCATAGGTACCTAGGCTAGACCACAGTACCCAGGTTAGACCACAGATACCCAGGCTAGACCACAGATATCAAGGCTAGACCACAAACACCAAGAGGACTCTTCTGGAATGCCATGAGCTTCTCTCCCTCGTATCGGGTCATCCCGAGTATCACAAGGGAGCCACGCTGTTCCTGTGTGGCCTCATCTCAGCTAAGCTTGTGTGCAGGACCTGACTTCCAAACGAGCCCCATTCTGAATGGGGGATGCTAGACTCGAACATGACTCTTTGGCGGGGGGGGCACATCTGAGCCCGAACACTGCTGGCTGGGGCAGCTGAGTGGCCGAGCACCTATGAGTTCGATCCCCAGCAGAGCTGACCTGATTCCCCCGACCACAGCCCGTGTGTCATCCCAGGGGACCCCGGGAAGGAGCACAAGGGCGGGGAGTAAGGAG